GCAGCCTGCCCCGCCCAGCCTCTAGCCTTGAGATCAGTTTTTTTTTTTTGAGTTGGAATCTCACTCTGTCGCCTCTCAGTCATCCAGGCTGGAGTGAGTGACACACTCACAGCCACCGCAGCCTCAACCTGCTGGGCTCAGGCAATCTTTCTGTCTCAGCCTTCCAAGTAGTTGGAACTACAGGAGCATGCCACTATGCCCAGCTAATTTTTTTTTTTTTTTTTGAGTTGGAGTCTCACTCTATTGTTCAGGCTGGAGTGCAGTGGCACCCTCACAGCCACTCCAGCATAGAACTGCTGGGCTCCCATGTTCCTTCCGCCTCAGTCTTCCAAGTAGCCGGAACTACAGGCTTGTGCTACTGCGCCCAGCTAGTTTTTTTTTATTTTATTGTAGAGATGAGGGCTCACTAAGTTGCCTGGGCTGGTCTCGAACCCACGGGCTCAGGCAATCCAGTCTCCTCGGCCTCCCAAAGTCCTGGGATTACAGGCTGAGCCACTGAGCCCAGTCTAATTTTTTTTTTAAGTTGGTTTATTGTAGAGACGAGGTCTTGCCAAGTTGCTCAGGCTAGTCTGGAACCCCTGGGCTCATGTAATCCTCTCACTTCCACCTCCCAAAGTGTTAGAATTACAGGTGTGAGCCACCACGCCTGGCTGAAGAGGCTATTTTCTAACTTTTCTTGCCTCCCTGCCTCCCCCAGTGGGCTGTTTTCTCCATCCCCGTCCTTCCCCATCCCTAGACTTGAGGCCACAACTCCATCCAGTTTGAGAAGCTCCTGGTGTGTCTCCACCTCTCGCGGGTGGAGTAGCATCTGCATCTCAGTCCAAGATGTCCCGAGGAGAGGGATCCTGTCTTCACCCCCTTGAATCAGGGCTTCCTGGTGCTAGGACTGTGTCTTCCACCCAATTGGGATCTCCCTAGGGACAGGGTCTACCCACCCCATACGAAAGCACCCACAGGACAAGAGCCCTCTTTGCCCCAGAAGCTCCTGACACTGGAACCCATGGCTTGCTGTCAGATGGGGGTCCCTGGGGGGCAGGAGCCATCTCCCCATTCCATTGGGGATCTGCCCCAGAGCAGGCCTCATTCCTCCTCTACCTCAGCCTGTGCCCAGCGGGCTCTGCAGATGAGAAACCAACTCCCGAGGCGGCGGAATGAGTGAGCCCGACCCCTCCCCTTGCTCCTCCCAGGCCCCTCTCAGCCCATTATCAGAGGCATCTGCTCACCCACCGTCACAGACCCCAGGGCCCCGGCAGCTGTGGCAGGGTTCATAAGCTTGGGCCCGTTCTCCCTGTTTCTCCCACCCTGTTCAGGGTCTGAGGCAGCCTGCCCCGCCCAGCCTCTAGCCTTGAGATCAGCTTTTTTTTTTGAGTTGGAATCTCACTCTGTCGCCCCAGCTGGAGTACAGTGGCACGCTCACGGCCACCGCATCCTTGACTTTCTGGGTTCTGGCATTCCTTCCACCTCAGCCTTCCAAGTAGCTGGAACTACAGGCGCACACTACCACGCCCGGCTAATTTTTAAATTTATTGTAGAGATGAGGTCTTGCCAAGTTGCCCAGGCGGGCTCAGGCAATCCACTCGCCTTAGCCTCCCAAGGCGCGGGTTTACAGGCTGAGCCAGCGAGCCCGGCTGACACCAGCTTTTTAATTGCTTTCCCGATCTGCTGTCCTCCCACTCCCTGCCTAATTGGGTTTCTCTGGAGGGCAAAAGGCTGGGACCAGATGTGGCCATGGTGGGAGGAGAGGTTGAGGGGTGGCTTGTTATTTCCAACCCAGTGGCCCTCCAAATGGACAAGAGCAGCCAGGGAGCGGAGGCAGGGGGACTGCTGGCTGCAGGAGGGTTGTGGGGGAGTCCTGGGGGGAGCTGGCAATCACAGCGTGGCCTCCAGGCCCCTGGGTGAACCCCCAACCTTCATTTCAAGCTCTCCTGAATCCCTCATCACAAAAGAACCAGGAAGCCAGGTGTGGTGGCTCACACAGAGGTGAGAGGATTGCCTGAACCTGCGGGTTTGAGACCAGCCTGGGCAATATGGTGAGACCTCATCTCAACAATAAATCAAAAATTAGCTGGGTGTGGCGGCACACACCTGTAGTTCCAGCTATTTGGAAGGCTGAGGTGGAAGGAGTCCCTAAGCCCAGCAAGTCGAGGTTGCAGTGGCTGTGAGTGTGCCACTGCACTCCAGTGCCTGGGCAACAGAGTGAGACTCCTACTCAAAAAAAAAAAAAAAAAAAAAAAAAAGAACCAGGGAGAAAGGGAAGATGACCAGGAGTCAGACTCTGGCTGGGAAGCAGGATGCCCCAGACAGCCAAGAGCTGAAGTGACATTCCTGGGGAGTCTGGAGGCCTGGGGCAGGGAGGGCAGGACTCCCGGGTTGGAAGCTACCGAGGAGCCCCATGGGGTGATGAAGTCCCCACGGGGCCAAGCTGAGGGCTGTGTGCAGGTCCCAGAGAGAAAGCCCTGTCCCCTCGACAGATCCTATTTAATCATGAGGAAGCGGGGAGGGGTTTTCCTGGCCTTCAAGGCCAAAGAGCAGGATTAAGTGGGAGGCGGAAAGGGGCGTTTGGCCGGGCTGGGCTGCAGCGGCTGGGGAGACATTGATCGCCACGTCTCGTGGCTGGCTCTCTTTATGGAGGAACAATCCAATCCTTGTCTCATTGCCGTCCATGGAGGTCAGCTGGGAGCCGACTGTCAGCTCCCTGCAAAGCTTGGACCAGCCAGGCTGCCTCCCGGGTGGCTGCCACTCGGAGACTCTGACCCGGTGATGGAGGGCGGAGCCACACACGCTCAACTCACTGGCACAGTCCTTGTGTACTTAGTGGATCGCCGAGAGCACATTTTGCACCGCAGAGCCATGCACGTTTACTGAGCGCAGGGCCGGTGGCAGGCCGTGTTTGTCAGGGGTGACCTCCTCCACCTGCGAGCTGGCCCCACTAGGGTGAGTTGTGCCGGGTGCAGGGACCACGCTGTGCAAAGGCTGCCCTCTGGCCCTCGCTACCAGCTGTCTCGCCCTGCGCCCACTGCCTCCACACTTGCATGGGTGTCAGTGGTGATCAAGCAAGACGACATGGGTGGGGGCCCCAGGAAACGGGAAGTGATTCCGTTGGAATCTGATGGGTTCAGTGAGGCCTCCGGGGGTCAAGGCGCCATGCCAGGGCGCTGAGGGCCACAGATGATGCGAAGCTCGGGCTTCACCGCCCATAGGGTAGAAACTCATTAAAGCTAATTGGCAAGGCTGGAACCCAGGGCTCTTGGGGAAGAAGCAATGTCTGTTCACTTCCGAAGGAGGCAGGCCTGGGCCGGAGGCTGGCCAGCTCGCTGGGTGAGGTCTGCAAAGCTTTGCCAGCCTGTGTCCTCAGCACTTGCCCCGCGAGGTGACAAAGCTTGTGCAGCGACCTGGCTGCGGCGATGCTCTCCTTGTGGCCCCTTTACTCCAGAAAGCGCTGGCGCTGGGCAGGATGGTGCTGAGCAGGGAGGCGGTGGCCCGCAACGGCCAGGAAGGGTTGGAAATCAGCATTATTTGCACACCACTCACAATGTGCTAAATATCTCTAACATGTTTGTTTTCAGGAGCAGGTTAAACACAGACTCCTGTGATTTTGTTTACACTATTATTCGCTCAGCCAAGCATGTCTTCATGGGGAGAGCAGAGGCAAACCCATGGCTGGGTGAGGGTGGGGCAGGCTGCGCTGGGCTCAGGCTGGAGGGGCTTGGCCTGAAGCCTCACCCAGGGAACTAGGATGTGCTCCCTGAAGGCAGGACTCCTAGCAACCCCCCCTCCCCCGCCGCCAGGTGTAGTCGCTTCTAAACACACCGAGGAGAGGGGCCCTTGGGGTGCCTGGAGGAAAGGTGAGAGCTTAGCCTAGGCCCAGACCTCAGGCCTCCAGAGGAGGCCTTGAGGGAACTGCTTATTTTTTTTGAGTCGAGGTCTCACTGTCACCCAGGCTGGAGTGCAGTGGCACAGTCATGGCCACTGTGGCCTCAACCTCCTGGGCTCAGATGATCCTTCCAACTCAGCCTCCCAAGTACCTTGAGCCACGGGTGTGCGCCAAGACAGCTGGCTAATTTTCTTGATTTATTGCAGAGATAAGGTCTTACCAAGTTGTCCAGGCTGGTCTCGAACTCCTGAGCTCAGGCAATCCTCATGCCTGCGGCTCCCAAAGTGCAGGGATGACAGGCATGACCGTGCCCACTGAAACTGCTTTCTATGCTCAGAAGTGTCTGCAGGTCTTGGGGAGCAGGTAGGTGAGAAAGGGGCGGTACTGCCATCCTACCCAGGTATACAGAGACGTGTGCTCAGGGCTGGAGGCAGTTTATTAATCATGATAGCAAAAATATACCTACATCCACACGTATATATGTGTGTATATGCAGAAATAAAGGATCCAAAGGATTGAACCCAGGGAAGCCCACGTTTCCTCCAGAAGTGCATGAAGACCGACTCCCTTTCTTCCTCACTCTGTGTGCACAGTGTGGGCATCCCGCTGCTGCAGGTAAGGGCCACAGCCTGTTTTCACGTGGCCGTCAACCCACCATCAGCATCCGCATCGTCTCCAGGACCACAGCAAGGACCAGAGCTCCCACCCAGGCTGTGGTGTGAGGCTGAAGACCTCCCTCTCGGAAGCCGGGAAGAGCCAAGCAGGCCCCTCCTCACCCCGTCCGCACGCCTCCACTGCCTCGGCCATCCTGTGCAGGGCCCTGCGTCAGTCAGACACCTGCCTGCACGGACGTCATAAACGAGGGAGAACGTGGCAGCACCCTTGAAACAGCAACGTGTTAGCACTCACAGATATGTACATGCTGAGACGCTGAGCGCAACAGATTAATAAGAAGGATGGGTGGCAGGTCGGGTGGCTGGGGAGGGTGTTAATAAGGCAGGCCCTGGCACTCAGGGCTCCAGGTGAGGAGGGCAGGTCAAGGCACCTGGGGGAGGGGGAAGGGGCTCCAGGACCAAGCAGGGATGGCCAGCCGGAGGGGCTGGGGGATCAGGACACCGCACGTTGGTCAGGATGCCTTGGCAATGCAGTTCCCAGCTGGTGGCACTCTCCCAGCCCCAGGGAGTCCCTTCTCGCTCCTCCGGTCACTAGGACGGAGAGGACTCACAGGCAGCTCTGCAGGCCAGCGGATGGGGATGCAGGGAGGAAGGAGAAGAGTGAGGCTCTGTCCCACTGTCCCCTGCCCCTGCCCATCTCTTGCCTCTCCCGTCAGGGCCCCTGGGATGCTCACAGTACCCCAGGCCCTCCTCCCACCTGGTCTCAGCCCACCTTGTGCCCCCTACTTCCCGTCTTCATCTGCCACCGTGGCCCAGGCCACCCCTCCCTGTCCCCAATGCCAGTCACCTGGGATGGCAAGAGGCCTAGCTGGCCTCTTCAGGGTGCTGCTGGGGAGACGGGCAATGCGGCTGCGGCCCTGGGAAGCTGAGGAGCTGAGGGAGGGAAGGAAGGTGGGATGGCTACTGCCATGCCGTGGACTATGGGGCTGTGTCCTGGGGGCACCACGCCTTGGGAACACGGGAGGCAGGACATGGACAGAGCTTCCAGGGCCAGACCTGAGGGTAGGAGAGGCAGCCAGGGAGGAAAGCCTTGTGGAGTTTGGGCTGCAGGAGGGAAGTGGTCGTGAGGGTCACTGGGGTCACTGGTGAACTGCAAGTGTCTCCTTTGTGGCTCAGGGCCTGTGGCCCCTTCAGCTCTGGGGTCACTCGGCACAGCAAGGGCCAAGGGAACCTCAGGGAGAGAACGAGACCTGGCCCTGCTCACAGGACCTCAGCTCGCTCCGCAGGGCCCAGAGACTCGCTGGGGCCTGTGTTTGGCCCAGTGTCCACAGCCCTAGGGACAACTTCCCCCCTACTCACCGCACTTTCAAACCTCACCTGGCAGTGCGCCTCTTCTTGCAGGCTGAGGCCCCAGGGAGGGAAGCTGCTGGCCTGGGGCCCTTCTCAGTGAACAGGAACACAGGTGCACTGGGGAGGGAGGCAGGGAGGCAGGTCAGAAGGGACTAGAGTGGACCGGCTGCTTCCTCTAGCCCCCAGCTCGGGGCGAGGGGGAGGCTGGCTGGACGAGGTGACCTCAGAGGCCTCTTCCCACAAAAGGTGGGTTCCTCTCCCTGCCTCACTCGGTCGGCTGACAGCTGAGTGACAGGCCTGCACTGGGAGAACATCCAGATGTCAGTTTCTGGTGCGTCTGGGGAACTGGAGTTCAAACAATTTCACCCTTCCACCTGCCCGGCGCCGAGCTTGTTATAGGAGCTGATGCCCAGGCCGTGGAGGGTGGGGGCGGGCGGCAGCCTGCCGCCTCTGCCTCCCTGCCCAGGGCAGTCTGCCACTTGTTCTGGCCTTGGACTATCCTGAGGGGTCATGTGCACACCGGCCATGTGGGTGGAAGGCGAGGGTGACAGCTCCATCATCTCCCTGGGAAACATTGACTAAAGCTTCCTGAGGATCCTTCCCCTGTGGCAGGTGCTGGGCTGGCAGGGGCAAGATCTGGGGGTGGAAGGGGCAGAAGCATAGGACACCGTGGGACACAGACCTCAGCCCAGGCCAAGGGGCCGAGGTGGAGCAGAGAAGCAGATAGTGTTGGGCTTCCCTGGTGCTCCCCTGTTCCCTGCTGATACTTCCCATGCTACCCGCAAGCATGCCCCAAGTCAGCAGGGTGGCAGCCTTGTAGCAAGGATAGCTAAGGCAGGGCTCCAGAAGCCTCCCGGAGCCTGGGAGTGAAGCTGAGCACAGGCACAGGGAAACTCGCAGCACCTGCCCCGTGTCCTGGCTCCACGAGTCAGGCTGTCCTCCACACTTCTTGGCAACATCCTGACCTCCTCCGGGGTGGTCGGAGCAAGGCTGGGAGACCCACCTGGGAACGAAGGGCTGCTCTTCCCTGCTCAGCTCCCGTGGGACTTTCTCCCAGCCAGCACACTCGTGGAAACTGAGTTTTGAGGGGGTTTCCTTGGAGACTTCGAAGGTGGCATTGAGGTCCTGGGTGGGCAGGGCCAGCGGGGTGGAGCAGTTCTGCATGGCGGAAGGGCCCAGGGGTGCCCGGCGTTTGATGACCGTGGCCGGGCAGAAGCGAGGGGAATGGCAGGGGGAGGAGGCCCTTCCTCCTTTGGGGGTGCTGGGCCCGAATGAAGACGGGGCCTCAGGCAGAGAGCCCCTCCTCAGGCAGGGCAGGAAGGATTGGCACTGGCGCTTGGTGCCCCGCTGGGGGACTGGGGGACTGCCTGGCTCCGAGGGGCTTGGTTTCCTCCTCCTCTTCTTCTCCACAGGCCCCCGGGATGCCTGGGCTGGGGTGTGTTCGGGCCCAGCTGGGATCCCCAGAGTGTGCATGGGACCACTCCACTGCCTGGCCATGGTCCGGGTCACAGGGCCAGAGTATCCTGGAGCCTCTGGGCAGAGAGAAGGGCCGGGGGCATCAGGGACTGGCCAGAAAGAGGAACCTGTAGGTTTTGGGGAGCCAGACGCTAGAGGCCCAAAGGAGCCCCTGACTTCTCAGGTCCGGGGATCTCTATGCTCAAGTCCACGACCCCGCAGCATAGCCCAGCAGCTGATGTCCCCAGCTACCCCTTGGCCGCAGCTGGGCCCTGGAGATGGCACCCACAGGCAGGGCAGAGCAGTGGCAGGACTCACTTGACTCTGAACAAAGCTCCTGGGCCAGAGGTGCCCCCTTGGCTAGGCCGGGTGTCCTGAGAGCCTCTGCCCCGGGCTCAGTTTTTCCCTCTTGCACCAGCTGCTGCAGGGTCTCAAACTCCGTGATCATCTCGGGGGTCAAGAGGTTGGCTGCTTGGAGAAGGGAGTATTGTCGCTGGGCCAGATGCAGCACCTGCAGGGCCAACCTGGAACAGAGTGGAGGGGAACCCCACCCCCACTCAGACCCAGCCTGGCCGGCATCCTCTGTCACTCCAGGTGTGGCTGAGAAGCACACCCGGGCTGGTCACCTGGCTCTCTCTTGTGGGGCTGCAGACTGGCCACCGCCTCGCCACCTTTCCAGTCATAGCTCCTGCTGCCACATCTTGGTGGCAGGCTAAGGCTGGCCAATGCGGCCACAGGTAATGGTGTCACCCACTAAAGATGCCCCATGATAACAACAGCATCCTGGGAAGTGGGGAAAGGGCTCTAAGGGGCCTTGGTCTTGGCCTCGGCAGGTCTGAGTTTCCCCTCAGCTCTGTCCCTTACCAGTGCTGTGACCGTAAGATGATTTGTCCTCGAGACAATGCAAGGGAGCAACAAGACCCAGCACAAGCCAGATTGCCAGCTCCCTGCTCAAAGCCTGGCCCCAACATCCCCCACTATACCTTCCTGGGGTACCCTGGTTAACCTCAGCCTCCACGATTTTAAAATGGGAATAACCAATGCACTCCCTCATAGGGTTTTTTTGTTTTGTGTTCTGTTTTTGTTTTTTTTTTTTTGAGTTGGAGTCTCACTCTGTCGCCCAGACTGGAGTGCAGTGGCCGCTCCCGGCCACCGCAGCCTCGACCTGCTGGGCTCTGCCGATCCTTCCGCCTCAGCCTTCCGAATAGCCGGAATTACAGGCATGCGCTACCATGTCCGGCTGATTTTTTGATTTATTGTAGAGATGAGGTCTCACCAAGTTGCTCAGGCGGGTCTCGAACCCGCGGGCTCAGGCGATCCACTCACCTCAGCCTCCCAAGGCATGGGATTACAGGCTGAGCCACCGAGCCCGGCTTGTTTTCTGTTTTTTGAGACAAAGTCTCACTCTGTCACCCAGGCTGGAGTACAGTGGCATGCTCACAGCCACTGAAAGCTTGAACTGCTGGGCTCAGGTGATCCTTCCAAGTAGCTGGAACTACAGGCATGCACCCCCATGCCCAGCTAATTTGTTTTTTTAATTGTAGAGACAAGGCTTCACATGTTGCCCAGACTGGTCTCGAACCCGTGTGCTCAGGCAATCCTCTCGCCTCCGCCTCCCAAAGTGCTGGGATTAAAGGCATGAGTCACCATGCTCAGCTATAAAATAACCCATATGAGAAGCCCAGTGTGGTGGCTCACACCTGTAATCCCTCTAGGCTAGGCAAGAGTGAGACTCTGACCCACACAAAAAAGATAGTTACTTTATATACAAAGAACTCTTGGCATGTGATAAGCATGTAAGTTTAGCTATTGTTTTCTGCAAAATGGAAGTCATACCATTGGCCTTGTTAGGGAAAGAGGCGATTCCATAAGACAGACTGTGCTGCCCTTGGTTCTGAGGAGACCCCAGAAACCATTCTGTCCAGGCTTTTTATTGGAGGGCTGGAGTTCTGAAAAAGCACATGTGTAGTCACATGTAGTTCACAGGCACTAGGGAGCTACGTGAAGGAAATTATGAGGGTAATGCGATTATTGATGTGGTAAATTTAGATTCTAATAAAGCAAATTCCCTTTCTGTAGGGCATACGTATGATAAAAGAATAAACACAATTACCTTGGTGGGGATTATTCAGGGAAAATGATTTATCCTCAGGTGGCTCCACCTGCCTGGACATCTCTGAGGCCCCCCACCACTGCCCTCAGCCTGTGTGTGCCCAGGGAACGCAAACTCATTTTAGAAAGCAGCCTCCAGGCCCTTCTGAAAGAAGGCAGGATGTAAATTAAAAAGGACACAGCAGAGCCCATTCCGTGTCTGCCCAAGCCACACGCTATCTGGAAGATTAGGCTGCTGAGGAGGGCGGAGGTCCGGGGTCTGGACCCGTCCCTCTTGCTTGTGACCCTGGGCAGAGGCCTTGGCTCCCCATCTGACAAAAGAGGGGTTAGTCTAAGTTAAGGGCTTTCGGATTTGATTTCAAAGACCCACCAGATAGAGCAATGCTGCTTTGTCCGTTCTATGCATTAGACTTCAGTATAAGATTTCATTAGAAGAAAGAACTTTGCAGCTAAAGAGAACTCTGAAAAATCACTGAACTGGAAAGTCTGAGATCTACACAGTGCCCCAGTGGTCCAAGATTCTAAATTCTAAAGTCAAAGAGAGATTATTTTCAATTATCTGGGTGTCAGAATGTTTCCAAATATGGAGATGATCTGGAATGTTCTGCAACCCCTGACACTTGGGGTCTTCTGTCACATCTTATTAGCACTTCATCCCCAAGAAGTTGGGAGACTGAGGGCTGTGATGCCCAAATCACAGCCAAGGTTGAAGCAACTTATGGGAGACTGCAAAACCAGGGCAGAACAGAACTGAGAGGCCCTGTGGCCCTCTCCTCGGAGTGAGGGAGGCCAAGCAGAGAGACCTGCATCATCTGCAGGAGCCCATGGCTGTTCCCTGGGGGGTCAGGGAACAGCCCCCTAGCATGCCCTGACCTCTCCAGGGCCCCAGCAAGTCGGCAGCAGGAACAGATAATGAGCTGCTGATTATTCAGGCTGCAGCGTTTTTGCTGAGTCGGGAACAGACACTCCCTAACAAGAAATAAAATTAAACAGGCCCTTCTGTCCAGAAGCTTGAAATATACTGCCTGGCATGAAGCGTGCTGGGGGGGGCGGGTGGCAGGGCAAAGCCAAGGGGCAGGGCACTTGTGCACAGGGGCCACGGGCAAGAATACCAACAGCATCTCTTCATTAACAGTCCCCCGCCCGCCACACTGGCTTTGAGTGGGGGTTTGTATTTACGTAGGAGAAAAAATAGCCACTCCAGTCTGTTGGTGCAGACACATGACAAACACCTGACTCAGGCAGGCCGCCTTCCTGCCCCCGCCCTCGGCTTCCCTGGGCTCCCCTCTGTGCCACGGATGGGCAGCTTGGCCCTTGGACTGGAAAGCAGTGCACGAGCCCAGGCTGTGCTGCCCTACCCTCTGTCTACCAGCTGTCTGGGTGCACGCTGGTGTTCTGCTTCCCTCCCCCGTCTGACTGCCAAAGACATGGAGGAATAAATAGCTGATGAGAAGGAAACAGAGTAGGTGATAATACCAAGGAGCTGAAAGCAGACAGGGGACAATGGTGATAAAGAGATGGGACTCACAACAAGACAGAAGCAGGGCCATGGGGATGCGCTTAGCACCAACTCTCACCCCCAGGGGCTGAACCACCACCTCTCCCTTGGACTCCCGAGTAGAGCGAGAAGACACCTACTCCTCAGAAGGGGCCCTGGCTGGCTTCTGTGGCGCGGGGTGGCCCACGGTTGGTCGGGGCTGTAGGGTGAGGTGAGGGGCCGCTGGCAGTGGGCATTTGGGCTTCTGTTCTGGCCTCTGGGTTGGAACCTAGAGAAGGAAGAAGGCACAGGTGGGAGCCAGGACGGCCTCCCCGCCCTGCCATAAGCAGCTCCCAGGATCCTCCCCTCTTCCAAGAGCGGGATGACAGCTCCTGGGTGACCAGGTCCTGGGAGAGGCTTGCCTTCTCCCAGTCTGTTCCAGACACACAAGGCTTTAGAAGATAATGGGTCTTTCCTGCCCAGGCTCTGAAAGCCTCCTAAGGACTACAACATAAGACATCCAGGTAGAGACCAGGACTGAAGGCACTCTGAGTCAGACAGAGGCATTTCTTCCAACATCCTACCAGCCCACAGTCCTCCTGGCACCCAGGCCTCACGCCCCCAAGTCCTACCTCCTCAGCTGCGCCTTTGTCCTTGTCCTTTGGGGACTGTTCCTGGTCTGAAGAGTTCCCATCCATGATCCTCTCCACCTGGGCCTCTGTCCCCAGGCTCTCCTCTTGGGGGGCTTCAGGCCCCAAAGGGAGCTCTGGGCTACAGGGCTGGCTAGGAGGGTGGGGTGGTGAGGGGGAGCTGGAAAACCTGAGGGGGAGAGGAGGGCTTGAGAGGCAGGATATGGAGCAGGTGGGGAGAGCAGGAGTGGGCAGCCAGGCAGTAGACCCCATCAGGATGGGTGCTTGGGTGATATGTGGGCAGGGCTGAGGTGGGAGAAGGAGCAGGGACTTGCTGGTTTAGGAAACAACGGCACCCACACCCTACGTTCGCCTTCTCCTGAACAGCAGATACTGCTCATATGGGCTGGTGCTACGGACTCACTAATACATTGCTGGGCTGTGGTGGGAACCCCAGCCCTAGGTATGGAACAGAAACCAGGGGCGCTCGCCCTCCAGGCGCTGGAGGGCCCGGCTCCCTGTCCTGGCCAAGCTGCAGCAGGGAGGCCGGCACAGCTGTGGAACTCACTGAGGTGGTGGGCCTGACGTGGGGGGCACTGGGGGGTCCTGATTCAAGGACCGGGCTCCTGCCTCATATTCCTGGAGCTTCTTTCTCAGAGTGGCCACCTGGAATGGAAGCAGCCCAGCCACTTAAAGCCCCGCTGGGCACGGGAGGTGAGGGCCAGCAGCGTCCCGACTGCACCCTGGCTCTCGCTCCCCAGGCCAGCACCTCACCTCAGTCTGGAGCTGCTGGCAGATAGTGGCATACTGGCTGATGTGACAGTCCAGGCTGATCACGTTGCTCTTTAGCTGAGATGGGGCACAGAAGATCTGTTTGTTAATTCAAAGCCACTTCATCCACCCTTCAGACGGCCAAGCAGTGTGCTAGGCATCTTGCTCACAGCACCAGGACCCACCCTCACGTGTGGGAGACTCACCAGCCAAGACCCAGAACGTGTCAGACACCACGGCAAGAGGCGGAAGGCTGCCTCTGAGTCTGAGGCCCCTGATCCCCTGACCAAGCTGTCCTTGCCAGGCTCCAGGAGAGCCAAGACCTCTGGTGGAGGCAGGTAGGCCACACGATGTGGCAGAAACCACGGCAACTTTGCGTCATCTGTGTTAACCTATGTCGGGCTTTATGTCTTGCTGAAAATATGGCCCTGCTGCTCAAAATAAGTTTGAACCTGACCATTGGCCAACGCTTGGCCCTCCTGTGTCTCCTGCAGTTTTGAGACCGTCTTGCCACCTCCCTGGTGGCATCTCCCCACCCAAGAGCAGGGACAGTGTTGCTTCTATCACAGGGAATCTCCCTGAAGACAGAGCCTAGGGACCATCTGTCCTCTGCCTTGGGGACAGGGGGCTGAGGGTACTCTCTGGTTCCTGCCCCTTGCTGCTCCCTGGCTGGGAGTTCCCCCGGTGCTCAGGCCGGCCCCGGCATCACGCACCGAAAGCCTGATCTCCTTGGCGCGGTCGGCGTACTTGAGGGTGTTGTACGTGTCCTCGTGGGCCAGGCCAGAGGGGCTGACGGCAGCGATCATCACTGTGCGGCAGTTACCCCCGAGCGAGTCCTTGAGCAGGCGGGTCAGCTTGCTGTCCCGGTAGGGCACGTGGGTCTTGCGGCCCTGGGGGCAGTGAGTGGGTGTTGGGTGAAGTAGCAGCATGGATGGGGCTGGGGCCTGGAGGCCTTTGGCCTGGGGTTCAGGCACTCGCTCTCCTGGGGAGGATGCGGTCTGGGCTGTTTCACCTTTGCGTCTGCCAGGGCGTTGAGGACGTTGATGAGGGCCAGCAGGGAGCGGTTGATGTTGGCCCCCTCCCGCAGCCGCTCCCCCTTAGCATGGGTGCTGGATGCCCGCTCCGAGCCTGCCAGGTCTATCAGGCTCATCTTGGCCACCTGCACAGCCTGGGACAGTCCTGGAACCCGGTCCTGTTGCTTCACGAAGATCTGGGGGCAGACGGCAAGGGTGAGAGGTGGCTGGGCGGGAGAGCCCGCTTCAGGCTCTGAGCCATGACTCCTCTCACCTGGAAGATGGCGTGGGAGCGGGAGGACGTGGCGTTGGCGTCTGTGGGGTGCTGCGTGCGATTGCGGTTGCCCCTGGTCAGCATCTCCAGCAGCTGCTCGGCTGAGGCTGGCTGCAGAGAGACCCAGGAGGGGTTATGGGCTCCCCCAGACTCATCCTCCAGCAGGAAGGGTTGTTCTTTGGAACCAAGGTCACCCCTTGCTACCGCCACTGCTGCCATCACCACGGGAGCCAGAGCACCCCCAGATGGTCTTGGGATAGAGCCTGGGAAGGCTAGCGGGGCTGCTCATCCCACCGAGCCTAATCCCTCACCTGGTGGAAAGAAAGTCCTTGCACCACCACCCCCTTGTTGGGGTCCTCGCGGATGGCAAGGGGCCCCTTGGGCTCCAGGAGGTCGTGGACCTGCTCGTTGTACACCTGCAGAGAATGGAAAGCGAGGAGGAGGCCTAGGGAGGGCTCGGCTGGGAGGCGCCATGCCCCACTCAGGGCCACGCGCAATGGCAGGAGTCTCAGGTGGCCTCTCACCATCTGTCTCTGCCCTGGACTCTCCCTGGGACCCAGCTCTCCATTTCCCTTGGCGCAGTCCCCTGCTCACTCTACTCCACCGCCCACTCCCCACTTTGGCTGTGTGGAGGGGCGAGGCTGCCGGGGAGGGGCTGCCCTACCTCCTGGTAGCTGATGAGCACCTCGAAGTGCTTCTCCTCCTGGTGGGCCTCAAGTCGCCTGTACAGTTCCATGGTGGTCAGGTACATGATGCCGGGGTCCCCCTCCCTTCCCAGCATGGTATGTGTCTTCCCGGCCCCAGTGGCCCCGTAGGCAAACACTACAGAGGACAGAATTGGGAGGAGGGTCCCTGAATGTTGCTACCCACTCGTACCCCCACATTCCTGCTGCTGCCGCTACATTCTCCACGTGTCTGTCCTGGCCCCCCAAAGGCCAGTGGATTCAGGGCAACCAGATCTCTGCCATGGGTGGGGCTGTCCCTTCCTCCTCCAGTGGCTGTTTCTGTCCCTTGCATCGCTCACCCAGGTTTAGAACCACACGTGTGTGGTGTGACTTTGATTAGCAACTTCCCCTTTGAGGCTGTGTCAGGACAGGAGTCACACCTGTCCAGTTTGCTCTTGTATCTCCGGGCCCAGTAGACCCTCACACAAGGGAGAATGAATGAAGGAGCACGAAAGGGTCAGAGCTCTCAAGGTGTTGTGACCCACAGGGGGAGACGGGCATGTGCAGAAGGCCCTGGAATCCTTCCCCGGGGGCACGCAGAACAGCAAGGCCCAAACTGGCCGGGCTCTCACCCGAGCAGTTGTAGCCCTGCAGGAAGCCGTCCAGGATGCTGTGCGTGGTGTGCTGGAACACATCCTGCTGGGTGGCCGCTTCACCGAACACCCGGTCGAAGACAAACGTAAGGTCTTTGCTCTTCTTCTTGGGCCCTTCGTGGGCCCCGCCCCATTTCAGGCCAGGGAACCCCCCATCAGGCTCCTCGGGGTTAAACACCAGCACGCGCTCGTCCACCACCTGGACCACAGGCCGCCGCTGACTGTCCAGCTCCCGGGGTGTGGGGGGCCGCACACGCACCACCACCTGCACCGTGCTATCCTCCACTGCCATCACCATGGCCACACCTGGGTGAGAAATGATGGAGCTGATGACTAATCCCACCCCGGCCCGAGGAGGTGCATCACAGCACCCAACGGTGGTCTTCTCCCTCCACCTCCTCCCAATGGCTCGTCTCCATTTTCTACCCCAAGAAGGTGAGAATATTGGCGTCAACATTGACTATTAAGAAATATCTCTTTCTCACCTGAAATACTACTTTGTCATACCCACATGACCAAGTTTTCGGAGGTCTGTTACTGGGCTTTCTACTATGTTCCACAAATCCAATTGTCTACCCTTGCGCCAATCCCACACCATTTCCATGACATAACTTTACAGTTTGCTTTACATCTAGTGAGGCAGCAACCCCCTCACTAGTCGGGCTTCTTCATGACCTTCTTGCCATTTTCAGGCATTTATTATGCTATTTGATTTTAAGCAAATTTTATCAATTTTACTATCCCCAACCAAGAAACCCTTCTCTCAAAAAACCCTATTGGGGCTGGGCTCGATGGCTCAGCCTGTAATCCCAGCACTTTGGGAGGCCAAAGAGAGAGGATTGTCTGAGCCCGCGGGTTTGAGACCCGCCCGGGGAACTTGGTGAGACCTCGTCTCTACAATAAATCAAAAAATTAGCTGGGCGTGGTAGTGCGTGCCTGTAGTTCCAGCTACTTGGAAGGCTGAGGAGGAAGAATTGCGGGAGCCCAGCAGGTGGAGGCTGCAGCAGCTGGGAGCGTGCCACTGCCCTTCAGTCTGGGTGAGAGTGAGACTCCAATTCAAAACAAACAAACAAACAAAAAAACCCTATTGGGATTACAGTGGGAATTGCATTACATTTACATATTTATTATTTTAAAACTTTTATTTATTTATTTAACCAATTATTATTATTTCTACATAAGTCTTTAGCTGCGAAGTATATTAAGCCTTTTTGGGCAAGATCGTGGCTACTGCCTTTCTATTTGTTCAGATACTTTTTATGACCCTCAATAAGATTTTATAGTTTTGTCTTTTTAGTTAGGTTCTGTAATTGTTCTTTTAATATAATTCCCAGGTATTTTATGGATTTAATTGCCCTTATGGAGTATCTTCACTCGTTTCCATTTCTAGCTGGTAATTGCTAGTATGGAGAAACACAACTAATTTATATATATATGCCCTATATCCTCCGTGCTCAGACTCTTTTAATTCCAAGTATTTTTATTAGTGCTTATTAGGTTTTTTAAGTACATGATTATGCATCAGAAGAGAAAATGTTTTGTCTTTTCTTCTCCACACTTATACCCAATATTTCACCTCTGGTCTATGGCAATCTCTAGAACTATGTTGAATAATAATGCACCTTTCTGCGTTGTTTCTGATTTAATTTAATTAAATTAATTAATTAATTAATTTTTTGAATTGGAGTCTCACTCTGTCACCCAGACTGGAGTGCAGTGGCTGCTCGACCTGCTGGGCTCTGGCGATCCTTCCACCTCAGCCTTCTAAGTAGCCGGAATTATAGGCATGCGCTACCATGCCTGGCTGATTTTTTGATTTATTGTAGAGATGAGGTCTCGCTGCCCAGGTGGGTCTCGAACCCGCGGGCTCAGGCAATCCACTCACCTCAGCCTCCCAAAGGCGCGGGATTACAGGCTGAGCCACTGAGCCCGGCTTGCTCCTGATTTTAAAGGAAATGGCTTTAGTGCTTCACTATTTAGAAATTAGTTTTGGATAAATAGTCTTTTTAAGAGTTATTATTAGGAAAGTGTATAATTTTATCTAATGCTCTCTTGCATCTCCTGACATGTTCATGTGGTTTTTTTTTTTTCCTCCCTTATTTTGTTGCTATGGTAAATTATTTGATATTATTCCTGGTATCAAACCAACCATGCATTCTTGAGAAAAAATCCTACCCTAGCCATAGTAAAGTTTTTACAGGTAATGGTCAAACAAGTCAATCTTTTCTTTTGTGGTTTTCATGTCATACTTAAGAAGATATTCCTGGATGGAAGTGGTGGCTCACACCTGTAATCTCGGCACTTTGAGAGGCTGAGACAGGAGGATCGCTTGAGCCCAGGAGTTCAAGGCCAACCTGGACAAGATAGTGAGATCTTGTCTCTACAAAAAAATAAAAAAAATTAGCCAGATATGGTGGTGCACACCTATAGTCCCAGCTACTCGGGATGCTAAGGCAGAAGGAACACTTAAGCCCAGGAGGTCAAGGCTATAGTGAGCCATGATTGTGCTACTGCACTCTAGTCTCGGTGACACAGTGAAACTCTGACTCAAAAAAAAAAAAAAAAGATGTTCAAGATTTTCCTTCCCAAAGATAATAATCTCTTTTCTTCTATTTCTATCTAATAGTTTTTTTCTTTCTTACATTCAGGTCCTTATTGAGATGAACGTATGTTTGTGAACTGTGTGAGGAGTTTTGTGAATATCTATCCTTTCCAAATGGTAAGCAATTATTGCAAGGCTATTTATTGAATAGTACATTCTTTCTCCACCAATCTGAAGTGCCAAATTTAACATAATGAAATTCTAATTGAAACATGAGTTTGTTTCTGGAGTCTCCATCCTGTTTCACTGATAGGTCCCTTACTTTTCCAGCATGAATAATGACTGCTTCCATCATATGTCACCCAATTGCTTTTTTTTTTATTTTTTTTTTGAGTTGGAGTCTCACTCTGTTGCCCAGGCTGGAGGGCGGTGGCATGCTCCCGGCCACCGCAGCCTCGACCTGCTGGGCTCCGGCGATCCTTCCGCCTCAGCCTTCCGAGTAGCTGGAACTACAGGCAAGCACTACCACGCCCGACTAATTTTTTGATTTATTGTAGAGATGAGGTCTCGCCAAGTTGCCCAGGCGGGTCTACCTCATTGCTTTCTTTTGGCTATTCTTAGGCACCTTGTATTGCATGATTTTATTTATTTATCTATCTATTTATTTAAGTTGGAGTCTCACTTTCTCATCCAGGCTGGAGTGTGGAGGTATGACTGCGAATCACCACAGCCTCTACCTCCCATGTTCAGGGGATCCTTCCGCCTCAGCGGAATGTAATAAAATTACATTTTCTTTCTTTTTTTTCTTTTGAGCTGGAGTCTCACTCTGTCACCCAGGCTGCAGTGCAGTGGCATGCAGGTTCGCGGCCACCCCAGCATCGACCTGCTGGTCTCCGGCGATCCTTCTGCCTCAGCCTTCCAAGTAGCTGGGATTATAGGTTGTCCCATTGAGTCCGGCCTAAAATTACATTTTCAAATTCATTCTTGCCAGATTATAGAAAGGTTTCTGACCTCTGCATGCAGTCCTTGTATCTGGCCACACTGTTGAATTCTCACTGGTTCTGAAAGATTGTCATTAACTCTCTGAGGTCTTTCAATTAAATGATAATATAGTTTGCAAATAATGACAGTTGCCTTCTATTTTTGGCTCTTCTACATTTAGTCCCCCGCCACCAGCGCCCACTAGGAATATAGGCATAGGTGTTGAATTTTATCAAATGCCTTTTGGCACTTGCTGAAATGATCAGTATTTCTCCTTTAATCTGTTGACGTAGAGGGTGACACGACAGGTTTCGTAATGCTGACCAGATCATTCCAAACACGCAGTCACTCTCTTTCTCCTGATCTCCCCTGACCTCTCTCCCTGGTTTTTCATTTCTCTTTTGAACCAAAGGACAGGGATGGAATTTTTGGAATGCAGGAGTCACAGACTTCCTGGAAAAGTTCAGTGTAACTCCAGGGCTGACTAACAGGGGCAAGGGCCTGTTCTTGTGTGCTCTGGGGGAAACTCTCTCAAGCAGGGCCTCTCCCTCTGCTTTCACACCACGACAGTCATCATCACAGGAGAAGACTTCTGGGACCAAATGTGGGGTTTCTCACTTCCACCAAGCACACCAGCTGGGCATCCTCCAGTTCAATTCCAACATTACCCACCTGGAGATACGTCAGATCCCACAGGGCAAGGGCTCAGTCCCATAAGACAGCCTCTGCCCCCATACACCTGTCTCAAGCCTGGGCCTCTGGAACCTCTTACCCACCAGTTTCAAGGTGGGGCTCCCATAACCTCCTCTATGGGTTCGATGAGTTTGTGGGAGTGGCTCACAGAACTCAGGGAAACACTCCCTTGGCCGGTTTATCATAAAGGATGCTGCAAAGGACACAGACGAAGGAGGCGTGGGGTGAGGTCTAGGGAAGGAGCAGAGCTTCCCTGCCCTCCCTGGGGTGCCACCCTCTGGGATCCTCTCCGTGTTGGGCTATCTGAAGCTCTCTGAACCCAGTTCTCTTGGGATTTTATGGAAGCATTTCTGCCCCCAGTGTATAGGGTGTTCCCAGAGGCTGACGCCCTTAAGACCTACTCGGAAAGGCAGGGGAAGACCAGAGCCCTGCCTTGGGGGCCAGTGAGAAGTAGGCAGGAGAAGGCTGGAGAGACTCTTGCTGGGGCCTGCCCCTGAGGCCTGCCACACCCAATGTCGTAATAAAGGCTTGTAACAAGGGTTGTGGAAGTTTTGGGACAGGAACCACGGACAAAAGCTACTCTCTATAGCATAACACCACACAGGGATGTGATCAGATGAATGCTTTTTTCAGAGAAAACCAGATCTGTGAAGAAAAGACCATTCAGTGAAGAAAAATGGGATTTCAACCTCATGCTCCAGCAAATAGCCAAGGTTTTCCTGGGGACTGAGGCAGAGTTGAGTTACTTTGAAATTTCTATCTCACCATCCCTAAACTTCTTCACTTCTTCCCCACACAGAACAAGAAAAAGACATCAACCAACAGTAACCCTTTTACATGGGTTTAATTCTATTCCTGTCCCAGCAATCAGATTGCCATGGTCAACGCATTAACTAAGTCTTCACATCAGCACCTCACACACACCATCTCCCTTCTTCCCCATTGCAATCCCACAAGATAGATGTGATTATAATATTCATTTTTCAGTGAAGAGATTGAGACAGTGAGGGTTAAGCAATTCGCCAAGGTCTCTATGCTAGTGATAGAGCCCCACTCTGGCTCAGGCAGCTTGACTGCCCAGCCT